TAATTAATGAATGCTAATCAATGTTTAATGATAATTGATGATTACTATGTTCTGAGCTGATCTATTTGGAATTTTCTCCATATAACAACGGTGTATGGAAAATCCATATTTTCTTCAATTCGCTGACTTGTATTTGATTGTAAGAAAAGTCCACTTCCATCTTAATTCTTTGCGTAAAACATCAAGAAAGGATTAATCTTAAGGAATAAGGACAACGAAATATGCAAAATTACAAAATTATAAAAGAAAACAAAGCAGTACTATTAAATGAGAACAAGGACTTATCACAAAATTAGTAAATTGTTGACTGGAAAAGGGATTTTGATCTTGACTACTTTAATTTGCAACTGAAATTTCGTTAAAAGGGGTGTATTTATGTCAACACTAATTAACAAATTAACTTCGTATAAATGTAGTTACTCCACGATGTATCCTCGAAAAGTCCCTTAATTATAATTTGAACATAGGAATTAAAGTAGTACTATTAAAAGAGAACAAGGATTTAACACAAAATTAGTAAATTTGTCACCTGAAAAGGGATTTTGATCTTGACTACTTTAATTTGCAACTGAAATTTCGTTAAAAGGGGTATATTTATGTTAACACTAATTAACAAATTAACTTCGTATAAATGTAGTTACTCCACGATGTATCCTCGAAAAGTCCCTTAATTATAATGTGAACATAGGAATTAAAGTACTTTTCCTAGCTAGAAAACTTTTCCTTTCTTTGAAACGTTCAAAGAAACCAAAATAAAATTTAGACCGTTTCCAATTTAAATGATTAGCGACCAATCAGTAATAAAAATTTTTCAAAACTGAACCAAACTCCTTTTTTTTTTTTTTTTGTTTAGACTTTGTATGGGTCATACGCGGACCAAATGGTTAATTTAGCCGTGTTGAAACTCTAGGACCGCGGTTGGAACTTTTTCGAGTGATTTTATAATAAATTGTATATAAGGATTACTTTAGGTATTTATTATTATTATTATTACTATTATTGTTCTTATCTTATTATTTTTCCCTTTTGCTAAGTGGGGTTGACCTTGAAAAGTAATTTACATCTGGACATTGTACGTGATTTCAGGGTTGTTCTTTTAGAGTATAATTTGAGTGTAATTTTTGAGTTAAATTTGAGTTATAATTTAAGTTGAAGTTAGAACTTGAATAAAGTTGGGTAAAATTGAATAAAATTGAAACTTAAAAGAACGTAAACTTGAATAAAGTTAAAACTTAAGTTGTCTTTTTTTGAGTTTTTTAGACAAAAGAACATGCCCAATTCAATTCTGTGAATGTACCCAACAGTGATGTGGCATGGTCTAGTGGGCACCTTTACCTATAAAATAATTATAATTTAAGGTTGTTTAAACTACTTTAGGACAATAATATATAATATAAAATAAAGTTTAAATTGAGATGATCGAAGTTGATAATTCAATCCCCTAATCTTTTGATTGTTAACAATATTATGACAACGATTGTCATGTGTACAAGAAAAAAAAATGATATTAGTGATCTAACAACTATAGGTCATCCACTGTTGACAACTAACCTCGTATCTATTTGAAGATTCGCTGAGAAAGAAAATGAGATAAAAACAAATAAAATAGTTACATCAAATAACAGCGGTGTCTCGAAGCTGGGGGGGGGAAAAAGAGATAAATATGGCGTACGTATTTCCTTCTTGCTGAAACTTTAGGGTTAAGGAATAGTAAAGAGAGACGGAACATTATTCACCTTCTAGAAGACATATTATTGGAAGGGAAAGAAGAGGTATCCAAGAGAAATCAGGATTTATTATGTTATATTAGAACTCGAATACTTAAGGGGCTATTCTTTCGCCCTTTTTGAGTGAAGTGACTTGAGCGTAAATTTTGAGTTGAGTTTGAGTTATAACTTGAGTTGAAGTTGTAATTTGAGTTTGTGTTTAGTTGTGTACATTTGAGTTATGGTTTGAGATAAGAATCTTTTTGAGTTTGTGTTTGAGTGAGTCAAAACTTAAATTTGTATTTAGATAGTATTTTAATAAAAACTCGAAGCTGATGGAAAATTTTAATAGGGTATATGGGTGGGGTTTTATTCGTCTTTTCGATGTCAATGCATAGAAAAAAAAAATCGTCTCAATCCGAATTAAAACGAAAAAGTTATAGCATTTTTAAGAATAGAAAAAATACTGTTTCATTAATTTGAGTTCGAGTTTCTAAACTCGAGTTTTGTTACAGTAAAAAGCTCTCAGAAACATTCACATCTAACTTTTTTACTACAGTAAAAAGCTCTCACATAACGTCACATCTCAACTCGAATTAAAAACTCGAATCAGCGAACTAAACGGGTCCTTAAAACTCGAGTTTTAGTTTCAAACTCGAGTTCAAACTTAAAAGAACATAAACTTAAATAAAATTGTAACTCGAGTTGTTTTTTTTTTTTTAATTTTTAACTTAAAAAAGGGTTGCCGAACATCCCTTAAATCTGTTTCATAAGTATTAAACTTTGCAGTCAATATATAGATTGCCCTGATAAGGATTTATTAAATATATAGCCAGTTATAGTACTAAATTTGTAGTATTGATAGTACTCAAAAACCTGGGGTGGATATGTCAAAAAAAAAAAAAAAAAAAAAAAACAATGGTAGATACCTTATGGACGTAGGGTGAGGAAAGGTGTTTAAAAAAGCTGAGTTATTTTTCAATTTGCCTTTTTAATACGTGGATTGTATTTGTATGACTTTGCAATTGATAATCTATTTGCCTACAAATCACGTTAAGTCATGCGTGTCATATAACAACGTATAAATATGTTGCTTTTCATATACGTTTTCTTTGCCTTCTAATTGAGCAACAACAAGACGTGGTCTATAGATAATTTTCTTTACCTCCAAAGTCTTTAGTCCTAGTAAAGAAAAACAAAAATCTTCTCCTTTAGTCCTAGTTACTGGGAGTGATTGGGGAGATGGCTGATTTTGTATTGTTGTATTTTAAATTATTCTTTTTGCCCCAAACATTTAATTTTAACAAAGTACATCCTAAATTTTAAAATTCCTAACAATGGAGATCGAATAGCTAACGAACGTTATCAAGTGAACAATTTAATTAAGACACGAGATTCACATATCAAAGGCAAGAATAGTCATTTTTCTAAAACATGTCACATGCAAATCTCGTATTTCGAATTGTTAATTTGATACCCCTACTAACTATTACACTTCAATCGTTACTACTTTCAAAGTGCAATTTACCAAAATTAAAGTTCGGGGTCCAAAATAATGAATAGTTAAAAGTGCAATAATACAATTTACTATTGCATAAGTTAAGTAACACTTTTCAAATAGCTTCTTTTATCTTCGAAACTTTCAATAGTACAAAAATATATGGAAAAATTAGATAAATACCCATTTAAATAGCACCCATTTGATATCTAGGTCACAAATATTAGACTATTGTCAAAAGGGTATTATGTGATGAAGGAATGAAAGGGGTAGTATGTAGTTAAAAAGGTAAATTCCAAACCAATCATCTCAAAGGGTGAAATATGCAATTTTCTCAAAATAATATATAGGGTAATTCTCCTTTAAGTGGACGTTTGGTTCATAAATTTAGAATTATGATTTAAAATTATTCTCATTTTACGTGTATTTTTTATGAGAAAAAAATACTGTAAATAACTATAAATTATAATTCACAATAATAGACGAATATAAGAAGCAAACATTCCTTAAATAATGCGGATCCGTCTGCTGGGCCACATGAACCCTATAGATGAGCCCTTTTGCCACTATTATGTGAGTAATGTGACCATGACGTGGGGTTTTTTTTTTCTCTCAAATATATATCCTTTTTCAATCACCCACTCTCTGTGTTTATATTCCATGGCTTGAATCTGAACCACCGTCGATCGAGTTAAAACCTCGCCGTTGCCGGAAAACCTCCATAAGGCCATATCAGGCTGCAATATTGCCTTGCCGACCAGGTCTTGCAAGTTGCCAGTGCCGATCTCACAAGGAATAGAAGCGGAAAACCATCTATATAAAAGATTTTGAAGAAAGAGTCATTTCATCTTTTAGACGCATTTTGGTGGTTATTTTAATTTAGAGGAATTATGTTGTTTTACAAGGTCTCCAGAATTGCTTAAAAATAAAAGCTTTAAAACATTTAAAGAAAAAAAAAAAAGAAGTGAAAAATTTTCTAATGAACGAAAATAAAAATGAAGAAATCTAGAATCTAGCATTAAAAAATTTGGAAAATTTTCATAAAATCCCATGAGATCCCCATAGATTTTTTTTTTTTTTTTTTTTTTTGGCTTGAAAGATCCGCGTCGTTTTTCTGAATCTAAATGATTGTCGTTTAATATAAAAAGTGTGTTCTTTTTTTTTTTGAAAGGAAAAAAAGTGTGTTCTTTTTTTTTAAAGGAAAAAAAAGTGTGTTCTTACCATACACGTATTTGTTCATTCTTTCAATAAAAAGTGCTTTTCTTTTTGTTCAGAAATACACGTGAGTTTTCCTTATTAACAAAGATAAAATAAAATAAATAATGCAACAAGGAGCAAAAAAAAAAACTGTAAACAAAAAAAAAATAATATAGTCCCGTTAAATAATAGAAAATTGAATAAGAAAAAATTGTATAATTTAAATGGCCGCCATTGAGCAACGTATGATTTCCCAGTTTGTGGGTCCCATCTACTAGTGGTTCCCCTCCCGTTTCAGAAACGTCATCCAAACATTTGTCAAAAAATATCTTCTCGTCCACTCAGAACTCGCCACGGAGGACCATCCCAAAGGCTGTTCTCCTAGCCACGTCACCAGATCTTTTCAGGCCCAAATTCTTCCGCGCTCTACGTACACGCTTCCTCGACCGTCGATTTCTCAAACCAACACCTGTAGCCGTCCGATTCTCCACTGATATACTTGTGGACGCCGTAATTTACGTGCTCGAATTTTCATATTTAAATACCAAAACTTTTCTTAATTTTTTTTTCCTCCAAAAATCAGTGAAGACTCGGCATCTCGGATCGGTCAGAGATTTTTCATTTTTTTAAGGTAAGATTCTCTATTTCGGTCCCTTTAGTTTCTGTTTGTTTCCCTAGAAAATTTTCAATGCGTTACGGGAATAATCACGCAATTCTTTCCTGGAAATGCAGAGTTTCAACTATTTTTTGATGATTTAGCTTAACTTTAGATTCTTTTGACCAAGTTAGCTAGAATTGCAGAATGCTAATGTCTAATTAACTTCACTGACTGTGTAGTCCCCAATAAAAAAATCGGAGAAAATTACAAATTTACAGTAAGGAGAATGGAAAACTGGTTTTTCTTATGATGCAATTTTGCTGTTTTATTGCAGGATTTGGGAAATTATATAATTTTTTTGGTATTAATAGTTGTCAAAAGTAACTTGGCATGGGAGTTGTGACAGTTTCTAGCTCAGCTTCTCGAACTCCTTTAGGATTAAGCCTGAAATTCTCGAGTAATCGATCTTCAGTACTGAAGAAACCCTTAATTGTGGCTTTTAAAGGGGACAAATCCAATAAAACTGTGTTAGTTGCACCCCAGGATCAGATAATTTTGCCCGTAGAAACCCGAAAAGAGGTTAAGAGTAGGGTAGGAAAGGCTAAAAAGAGTTCGAACAGAGTAAAAGCCGTGGCTACGGATGAAGCTTCTACTAGTACCATGGAAGTGGATTACAATGAGGCCGCCGCCAAACTCGAGAACATATTCAAGCTTAGCTCCGCGGATGTGGAGGATGCGGTTGGATTGACAAGTAGGGGACGGAGACGGAGGAGTAAGGTTATTGGGGAAAGTGATGAGAGAGCAGGAAAGAAGAGTACTACTAGTGATACCGTGGTTAGAAACCGGAAGAAGAAGGCTAAGAGATTGAGTCTTCACAAAAGGGTCGAATTGAAGAGGGACAAGGAAGAGAATGTGGCTGTTGTTTTAGTTAGAAAGAGGAGAGAGAGTTTGAATGAAGAGGAGAAGATTGAGAAGCTTGTGAGGGAGTATTCAGCATCGACTGATTTGGTCAGCTTGGACTGGAAGAAGATGAAGATTCCGCCGGTTCTTCCTTCTTCGGAGCATACGTGGTTGTTCAAGCTGATGCAGCCTTTGAAGGTGAGCCTCTACCCTTTTTCTGCATATAAGTTTTAAGAAGAACCGTCACAACGGATGAACTTGGTACTTAACGTTGCCTTTGTTTATAGTAAACTTCTACTACTTTTTGGAAGCTAAATTATGTTGTATTTGAAACTTAGCAACTTTTTCAAGTGGGAGAAGATTTGCAAAAGACTTTGGGGAGAGAACCAACGGAGAATGAACTTGCCGAGGCGACTAATATAAGTGTGGTTCAAGTAAAAAGGCATTTGGAGGCCGGTCGAGCAGCCAGAAACAAGCTCATTAAGGTGAAAATTATGTCCTATACTATTTTTCCGCAAATGCATATGAATTTCTTTTTATTTGAGGAATTGAAATTTGAGAGGTGATTTCTTGTGTCTGTTGCAGCACAATCTCCGACTGGTATTGTTTGTAATGAACAAATACTTTCAAGACTTCACAAATGGTCCGAAATTTCAAGACCTTTGTCAGGCCGGAGTTAGGGGACTTATCACAGCAATTGACCGCTTCGAACCAAAGAGGAGATTCCGGCTTTCTACGTATGGTCTTTTCTGGATTAGGCACGCGATCATACGTTCCATGACTGTTTCAAGCTTTACTCGTGTCTCATTTGGCCTTGAATCAGTAAGCTCCTTTCTCTTACAATAAGCGAGGACTCTGTTATTTTTGTTGAGAGAAGCATAATCCTTTATAGGAAATCCTTACTTGCATTACAAGAAATCGAGAACATTGAGATTCGTTGTCTCAAGATGTCTTGTAAATCTCTTTTGTATCCGTGCAGGTTAGAGCAGAAATTCAGAAGGCCAAGATCGAGTTGACGTTTGAGCTCAAAAGGTTACCGACAGAGGAAGAGATAATTGAAAAGGTTGGTATTTCTCCAGAGAGATACCATGAAGTAATGAGGGCCTCTAAACCAGTTATCTCTCTCAATTCAAGGCATGTCACAACACAAGAAGAATTCATCAATGCTATCACGGATGTTGATGGAGTGGACGGTGATGACCGACGAAAACCTGCTCTTCTCAGGCTTGCTCTTGATGATGTGGTAAATTACTCAGTTTTCCTAGCTACAAATAGATTAGACAATATGGTTTTTTACTTGGGAACTAACTAGTCCTCTGATGGAAATTTCACTCCCAGCTTGATTCCTTAAAGCCTAAGGAGAGCTTGGTGATCAGACAGAGATATGGACTCGACGGTAAAGGCGACAGAACACTGGGGGAGATTGCTGGAAACTTGAACATTTCCAGAGAAATGGTTAGGAAGCATGAAGTTAAGGCTCTGATGAAGCTCAAGCATCCTGCTCGAGTCGATTATCTTCGCCGCTACATGGTCTGAACCGCATCCTTCTCCACACCATGTGCTTTTTAGCAAAACATCTCTCAACCTCTAGATGATACTAATGGCTACTCTATTGCTTTTACTGTATAGTAATGTACCATAGTCTGTTGTCAAAAAATTTGGGAAAAAGAAGAGAAGAAGAAAAGAGAAATTTGTGAATATAGAAAATTTTATACCATGTAGTTTTTGAGATTGTCCAAACTCATTACAACATGGGATGTAGTAATATATACATACTTCTTTCTTCTCTTCTGTATTTTAATGTTTTATACAGATATATATAATGCCTTTAGAGCCAGAGGAACATTTGGCTTTCTTTCGTTGCTATGACTTGGGGATTTAAGCCAAATAGTATAAATCTCATTTTGGAGAGTAGAGAACTGGTGAAATCTGCAAATTTTTAATTTGTTAATGTTTTTAAGGTGTTACACCCGTGATGAAAGCACTTATCCAATAATTTTGGTCTCAATTCAATGTTTGGTAAAAGAGCAAAAAAAAGTAATTATGCAAAACTTTGAGATTCTAGAAGTCAAAAGTCAAGTGGAAGGGTCTTTCTGCTTCCAGCTTAGGCCGGCAAATTCTAACGTCATTAATAAATTTTCAAATACCCAATGTGGCCTTGTTTATTCCACAATTTACGGGCCCGCCCGTTTAATTTGCTTATTCGAGTTTTTAATTTGAATTGAGATGTAATTTTATGTGAGAATTTTTTACTGTAGTAAAAAAATTTAATGTGACTGTTTTTAAAATTTTTTTACTATAACAAAACTTAAATTCTAAACTCGAATCGGTAAAATGAACGGGGCCTACGTCACTACCATAACTGTCTCTGGTATTATCATTAATTCAATAAGGCTTTACAACCATTGAAAGAAAGAAAGAAAAAGAGAGAAAGAAAGATTAATTCAATAACGCTTTACAACCATTGAAAGAAAGAAAGAAAAAGAGAAAGAGAGAAAGAAATCTAATACTAATTGGAAAGGTTATGTACTATTAATAGGTCAATCCTCTTCATTTTTTCGCAATTTCAAGAAAGAAACAATTTATCTAATCTAAAGCCAATTAAAATTTGGATGACCATAAACTTCAGAATTCTATATTAATATATCTGCTTTCTTCTTCTCTCGGCAAGCATATCATGGTGTCTCATTATCCAGAACCTCTCTATTTCCTCTGCTGTATCCAAAACCTCTCTATTTCTTCTGCTGTTCTGCCGGGGATCCTGCCGGCTATTAAGTCCCACCTGATCAAAACAAACAACAAACAGAACATACAAATTAGCCAACAAAAAAACTAGACAGAGTTTCACAATTTACAAAAAAAAAAAAAAAAACAAAAAAAAAAACAAATTAATCATGTTACTATCATATGTTCGCGTAATCCTATGCCACAAAACAACAATTAAAAGTCCTTAGCTGATCACGTTTCAAAACCAATGTTCATTTTGTTTCTATTTCAACTTTAAAAGCATTTTAATTAGTGAATCACCTTTCTCCGACGAGTCTAAACATTCTATGGACGAGATCTTCTTCTTCTTTTGTCAAGCTTATGGATCCCCACTCAGCACTACTTACCTCTGCATACCAAACAAAAATGAATTTAAACAAAAAAAAAAAAAAAAAAAAAAAAACAGAGAAGGGAAGAGTGTAACTATGTCTTTAAATGCAAAGATTAAACTATATAGTAGAACCCCATTATAGAAAAAACAGAAGATTTGTTCAATGACCTGTATCGGATTCGAAACCGGCGGCTTTGGCGAGTTTCTGGTGGCGGCGGCGGCAGTCTCTAATAGTCTCCATTGACAACGTGCAGTCTGAAAGATCAGAGGAGAATTCTTCAAGGGAATTTGAAAAAAAAAAAAAAAGAAAGTTTTTATAGACTCTTAAGGTTTATATGTGGAAAATATGCTAGACACGGGCCCGCGGGAAGCTAAAGAATATGCATATATATATATATATATATATATATATATGTATAGACGATACAAATAGGGTGCCAACAAACTTGAAATGGATGTCGTATAGTTTGTTTGACTTGTTAGGCTTATGGACTCGTGGTTGACAACTCCCAGATAGCTACATTTTGATGATGAGAGCAATTAAAAAATAATTGATAAAAAAATTGATTAAAAAAATTCTAAAAAAAAATATATTATACGCGTGATTTTAGTATAAAGAGAAGAGAGGAGATCCTTTCTAGATGTTCTTCCAAAAGGTTTTGATCATGCCTGGGTCTACATACAATATTTTAATAAAAAAAAAAAGCTAATCTTTCATACATACAATATAATATACAAAATGCATATAAATTAGTCTTTTATTACTATTTTTTTTAAATAAAAAGCTAATCTTTTATATTTTCTGCGGTTCTGTGAACTACCCTCCATGTGGCATCCCTTCTAGAAGGGGCAAAAGTGCAATGGTCTTTCTTCTCACCATTTTCCTCCTTGGAGGGAGGAAGCTTCTGTAATGAACAAATGTACTTCTCCATTTTTTATTATTTCAAACACAAATGCCAAAGTTATATCAAATAACATAAATATAAATTTTTATAAAAAAAATATTATAATAGAAATGTTTAAATCGTAATTCAAATTTATAAACTAGACAGGTCATAAATTAATTACACACTGCAAGACACTTTTATAAATAGTGCCATGATACTCTTTTATAAACAACAGTAATTTCACTTTAAAAATTAAGTCCAATATTAAAATTAACTCCAACTTTAAAGCATCACCGTCATCTTCTTCTTTTCCCTGGTTTCATTGATACTGCTTTAATTTAAGCATAGGGATTTTCAAAAAACTTGACTTCTCTTGCAAGTTAATAGTGTAGGTAAATTAAAATAGATTTTTTTCCTCACTCTGATTTCCATATCCAATGAATTTAGACCACTTTTAGTTTATGGATTCATAACCATGATTCAAAATTATTTTTAATTTATGTGTTTTTTTGTGAAAAAAAATACTGTAACGAATCACGAATTATGATCTGAACTATAGTACGAATCTTTACTCTAAACGATCCTTATTTCTTCCCACTGAAGAGATATTTGGGTTTGTCGTCTAAATCTAATGAATTTATTTATCCAGAATTCTCTATCAACATGATAAAAAAAAAAAAAAAGATATTCTATCTAACAACTAATAGGGTACTGTTTCAAGATTCAATCTTTTTTATAAGTATTAATATTCGCTTTGACTCTAAGAATATGAATACAAGTCTTCGCCAAAAATGCATTAGATTCTTCTTCTTTCTAGTAACCTTCTATTTTTTTGTTTTAAGTTTTGGCAATTTGAACAATGATTTTTTTTTGTTGTTGAAATTTGAATAATGATTTAATGCTGCATACAGAATATTCCATTCGGAAAAAGTGGTACTAAATGTTAAAGACTTTCGTTTTTATGAAATAATTTTTCCGGGCTTGTTTTATTACTTACATTATTTAGATTAAACTAGCTAAAAGTTCGTGCATCGGAAAATACTATTGTATTATATGAAAAGTTAAAAATTTGAATAGTATAGGATTAGTTTATATATACATATAGATATATCTATATAATATTTCAGTTAAAAGTTTCTTATAATGTATTATAGCTTTTGTTTTTGTTTTTCTTTTGTTCTTCTTAACAGTAAAATATAAATTTTAAAAAATTAATAATAATAATTAAGGAAATTGAAAAAAAAATTTTTAAAGAAAAAAATCTTTAATTATATGTTGTGTAAATCAAAAAATTTAGAAGTAGTTATATTACTTGGTCTTTGGGCGTTTTCTAAGTGAATTTTTTACTTTTAGTTTAGAATTAAAATGATAAAAGATTGTTAAGATATATATTTAAAATAATAAATGTTATTTTTTATTGATAATTGATATAAATTAATAAATAAAAAATAAAAAACTGAAGAAGTATACAGTTAAATCATAGGACAGAATAAGACCCAAAAGCTCCTGGGCAGAGGAAAGGAAGACAAAAAAAAAAAAAAAAAAAAAAAAAAAAAAAAAAAAAAAAAAAAACCCGACAATTCAAATTTAAGAGACAAAATCGATATTCCACAATAAACCATGCCTCCTCTTTAGTTTATATAATAAAATGCTATAATAGTTGCTTCATAATTTAAGTGGTACGTCTAGAATCTATCTCTCTTCTTTAGTTTATATAATATAATGCTATAATGGTTGCTTCATAATTTAAGTGGTACGTCTAGAATCTAGAAGATTGTCGGATTAAAAAAATAAAAAGAATCTAGAAGATTATAGGATTTTTCAAAAAAAAAAAAAAAATTCTAGAAGATTATCGGATTAAAAAAGAAAAAGAATCTAGAAGACTATAAGTGACAATCACATCCGTCAAACACACGCAATTGAAGGACATTAACCAGCAAACTCACACTTTTTTCTTTCTTTTTTAGTTTTTCTCATCTTGACTTAACTCACAATTAAGAGAAATTATTTTTTTTCCCAACTTAAATTCTTTTATTTGAAAAATCTTACTCATAAAAATTTAAATTTAATTTTTTTATTATAATATTTTTTCTCATATAAAAAAATTTAAATCGTGATTTGAGTTCTGAAATGGTACACATGTTCTCATTGAAAAAATAAAATCTTAATAACAACATAGTCTTTATCTTAGCGTCTTTTATTTATACCGTAAAACATGATCTGTTGCTTGCTTGTAAATATTATAATAGGATTTTAACACTTGCCCTTGGAATTTGACGCTTTACTCACTCTTGTTAAATGGTACAATATGCCCTATTTTCATTTTTTTAGTCAGATTTAAGGAGTTGATAAGATTGAGGATATATTTTTTTACCTAACTTAAATCACAACTTAAATTTTTTATTATAATATTTTTTTTATAAAAATTTAAATTTAATTTTTTTCTTATAATATTTTCTTCCACATATTAAATTCAATTTCATAATTTAAATTTGAGAAAAGAACGTACCTTAGTGATTTGTGTGAGTTTAATTGAGATTTGACTATTTTGATCGAACGTGCGCCTTTTCGTCCTCACATGAGGTTGTCATTGGCTTTCCAATTTGCAAATTTAAAATAAAAAATTTCAAATCCCAAAAAGTGACCAAAACCCAAAAAGTGTGTGGGGATAAAGTGCTTAAAACCCATCTGTACTATTGGAGTTAATGTAATTTTTTTTTTATTGCGGTCAGTTAATTTGAGTTTTTAATTTAAATTGAGATGTAATATTATATGAGAATTTTTTATTGTAATAAAAAAATTAAATGTGATTATTTTTAAATATTTTTTACTGTAGTAAAACTCAAATTTTAAACTCAAATCAACGAAAAAAAACAGAATTTAAGTTTTGTTTTACACAATTTACTCGTTCAACTCGTGTCTTTTAGCGGTATTGTCCCTAGCGGTAAAATTGATTGTGAATTTATGAAAATTAACAAAGCTAATTAGATACCAATTGTGTAATAGCTGTAAGTTTTACCAAAATAAGTGTAAATAATTCTTTTTAGAGATAAATAATTTTATATGTCAAGGGTTTTTTTAACATCAGCGTTCTCCATTATATTTAAGATAATTAATTCTGTAAAATTTAAAATTATCACGCCATGAATTTGAAGACAAGGGATTGTAAAATACTTTTTTTTGTTTGCTTATCGAAGATCCATTGATACAGTGGGCTTATTATTCAATGGAGCTCAATAGTAGAAAATAATGAGAAAAGAGATGAACAAAAAAAAAAAAAAAAAAAGCCTACGCATAACATTTTTAACTTATAAGAAAAAAGACTACGGAATTCTACTTTTTTGTTTCTAAGCTAATAATTACAGGAAAAAAAAAAAAGGAAGAAGAAGAAGAAGAAGAAAGTTGTCCGGACAACACACCAAAACCATGGGGCAAATTCCTTGGAGCATCAATCAACGAGAGAATGATTGAAACATTACAAATGCAAACGAAAACCTCTATATGCTGCAATATGCACAAAAAGTCTGCACTTTATTTGGACACGAAATTCCAAACATACAAACATCAAGTCCAGGTTTTAGATCATGTGCAAAACGAACCCAGAGAAAATGACGACACTGTTGAGTCGTGTGAGTCGTTTTGTCTCTCTTTTTATGTTTTAGGTTTAGTTGGCTTAGTTGGGTTTCATGTTTGGATTGTTTATTTTCAAAGTGTCAAGAAAAATCGTACAGCTGTTGTTTGAGTCGTTTTGTTCCTTAAGTAATGTTGTACGTTTTGACAAAATCTGGAGTTAGTCTTTCGAAATAGAAGAAGATCAGCTTTTGGGTTCGTTCAAATAGAAGAAATCAGCTTCACAGTTTTGAATTAAGATAAGGCTCTGAGGATTTCGTGGAAAAGATCAAGATTGTGTTGGTATTTTGATTTAAACTAGGATTTGAAATTAAAACAAATATCTGTTAAAGATTTTGTTTTAGTTTGAATAAAAGGTTTATTCAAAACTGTATTTCATGATGAATTCGTTTTGAAGATCAAGATATCATCTAAAAAGAGATTGGAGTGCTGAGAATCTGGGTCAAGGAAACTGAAACTGGAATATGCGAAGCAGATTACGTGTTTTGAATTTTAAACTGATAATTGTCTTATTTGTAACTACAGATTCTGAGACAGAATCTGATTTTGACTTAGATCAGTTTATAAAAGGTTGCTGCACGAGGAATCAGATGATGGACTACAATTCTGATAAAGTACGGAGTGCACAAGTTGAAGATATATAGCGTTCATCGATTTTGTTTTTTGAGAGAAGATTTTGTGAGCTTTCGGGAGAAGGCGTTTGAAGACGAGTGGTGCTCGCCAAGCTAGCCACTTAGGGTGTTAGACACAGCGGCGTCGATAGTCAAGAGGGAGTCTTGGGTTGGTTAAGTCCGATTGGTGTCTATAACTTTGTACCTATTAGTGGATTGCTTGATGTC